TCTTATTTTTTCCAAGAGTCCTCAAGACCTTGATGAGAGTGGGACCACAGCACTCCACAAAGCTGCAGCGAATGGTCATCTTGAAGTGCTCAAGCTGCTAGTTGAACAGGGAAGTGATGTCAATAAGACTGACATCACAGGATGCTCACCTCTTCATGCTGCGTCACGCAATGGTCACATGTCTTGTGTTAAGTTCCTGGTGGAACATGGAGCTGACTTTAAGCTGAAGTCCATCAAAGGCAATACACCTATGGTGGTTGCCAAAGCCAATTCACAACAGAAGGTAGCAGAGTATCTCTCTACATGTGGTACGTTGAATAAATACAGTCAATTCTGAAAAAGCTGCCAAGATATAACAGGGTCTGTGCCGGTCCTTAAATCCTTGAAAAATGCTTGAATTGAAAACTCGTTTTCAAGGGCACTTGAAACTCCTTAAAAATTTGAAACTTTCGAAAAAGTCCTTGAAAACTCCTTGAAAAAGATAGATCTCTATCACGAAGCGCGAGAGATCTCTGAATTATTCAGTTCGGCTAAAGTTGTGATGTAAGAATGTACAATTAGCATGATTATGATGTTCCTTGAAAATACAATATTGGTCCTTGAAAAGTCCTTAAATTTCGTTTTTGATACTCTGCACGGACCCTGTATAACTAAGGCAACAACAAAGCCAAAGTCAACACAGTTGAATTCATAGCAAAAAAACACTGCCTTATTTGAAAACAGATTCTCCTGCACAAAGACCTGTTTTTTTTTGTTTTTTTTTTGGTCATGGCATTTTTGTTTTTAAATAGTTCTAAATCCCTTCAAAACCATACACAGCAATGTTAAATAACATCAACAACACATGATATTAAGGTAAAATGTATTTTATTAAAAAACAATTTTGAATCCCATATATTCACTGTAAAATTCAAATGCTCTGCTTGGGTTGCATGTGCCTGACCAAACACAAAAGAGAGCACGAGAAAATGTCGTTATTGCAAAAGCCTTGAAAAATTGTATTTTCCCTGAGTTGAAACTAATTAACCCTGATTTCCCATTAGACCTAAGGTATGAGCATTCTGAAAATACAGGGTTAGCCTCAACTTGGGAAAATGTAAATTGTAATAATGACATTTTCTTTTGTCTTTGGTCAAGTTCTTTGCGTAAGAGAATCTGCTGTCAGATAAAACAGCGGTTATTTGCTTTGAATTTGAAAATGGAGCATTGCTATTTTTAATCGTTCATAGCAATACTTAATATCAAGCTGTAAAATTCTTAGATTCTCATTTCAGTGCAGATAGTGTTAAATCTTAAGTTTGAACATTCATTTAAACCTCAATGATGCCCCGTTATTTGGTTAATAGAAGGGTCTCTTAGCAATTTTGAATTTGAAAATGGAGTATTGCTATTTTTAATCTTTCATAGCAATACTTAATATCAAGCTGTAAAATTCTTAGATTCTCATTTCAGTGCAGATAGTGTTAAATCTTAAGTTTGAACATTCATTTAATCCCCAATGATGCCCCGTTACTTGGTTAACAGAAGTGTCTCTTAACAATAAAGGAGAAAAGGAAGAAATCTCCAAGTGCAGTCGTCATTATATCTAATTATATTTGTTTTTGCGTCATTATTTTCAGATAGAGAAAAGTATGCATGGGAAGTACAGTGAAACCAATTTCCAAGAAATTACTATAATCAAMGATAGTTTATTTAATGGCTGTTGTTTTGGCTGYCRAACTTCTAAAMCCACTTTCAGCATGTACTGCTTATCCTTACAATRTTWKGAAAAYAAGTATTTCGTTAGGTTTTCCTATGCAAGAAACCTGTAAGAACAAAGCTGTTAGAAGGATAGGTTRTTTTGATKATTGTTTGAAAATCTAATGAAACACAATAATGGGCTTTCAATAACTTCTCAAGTTAATTATGGGCAACTGATGGAGAAAAAAATAGTAATTTTATGCAGTTAATTGCTCGAACACCTCTTAGAACCTAAATACCTAGTGATATTTTTCTTTTACTTCATCCTCAGTAAATATTCATGAATAATGGTATCTTAGTATTGTTTCAACAAATTTCAAAAGAAAATCAAATGCATAGGCATTATCCACATCCCACATCAAATTCTCTGATTTTTAGTTTTTTCTGGTTTGCTCTTTGTTAGCCTCAAAACTGTGTCATATAATCTTGTGTATCAGTGATATCATTGTCACTATCAAAGCTGGTGGATAAAGCTCAATGTTTTCAGTTCATTTGAGAACTCATTTGAAATGACATAAACTTTACTATTTTTACATAGCTAAAAGACACAAGAGAGTTTATTATTAAGTTTATTATATTATTGAAAAATTATATTATTATCAACCTGTTCTTGGGAAAATTAGTCCAGAAATTCATTATGTATTCATTTACAGCCTTATCTTATGACTAGTAACTAACTACAAAAAAATAAGGGTGTTTGTACTTGGACTACTTGGTGGAATGAAGTTGTGTAATGTATTGAGATCTGTGTGTACTGAGATACCCATGTTATTGTGTAAGAAGCAAGATGGCAGATAATTCTGTCAGTTTACTGAACCATCTGTTATAGTTAGACACTACATTGTGGGTCAGCCTTGGACCATCACCTTAATRACCAGTAYAATTTACAGAGTTTATAAAGCTATTCAAGAGTGAGACTAAAAACACCATTAAGGTGTTTTAGACATTATCTAAAATGCTCTTGTTTCACCAGTATTTTCACTCACTAAGACAGCAGGTGATATTGTAACCGAATCTATTCAAAATAAAATTACTGCAAACCATTGAACACTTACAGTTATAATACTTCAAAATGGAAGGACTTTTTTAAGAAAAAAAGTCTACATGGTTCTTTCTCTATATCTTGATATGAAATGATTTAACAATTTAGATCTTTTAAGAAAAAAATGTTATGTAAAATAATGGATACACAGCAAAAGCTTTTTCATAATACTCAAAACATTTTCCAAATTCTACTGTGTCATGAAAAGTGAAATTTTTACACTTTTCATCATCTAGATTATGGWGCCTTAGTGGCACATAAGGACTCCACACTCATTCTCTATTCTTTCCTATTAGCTGTCAAAACCATCAAGGGCTGCTGTAAACAAATTCATTAAATTGCTATTCTAATGTTTACTATAATTCTAACAATCCTACAATAACTACTTTTATTTACTTGGTTTAATAGTTGAAAATAACTTTTTCCTTTCTCAAAAATATGCTATATACCCATAAACAGTCTTTCAGTTTGTCTCAGAAAGCCTTTCTCAAATGAACTTTCTGAAAATCTTGCAACACTATGTCTAGCATTGTGACAGATAACACTCCTTTCTTCTGGAGAAAGATGAATAATTGTTTCCATTGCATCAGCATAACTCTTAACATCGCTGGCTAAAAATCCTGTGGGTTTCCCATCCCATTCTATAACGATATCCATTCTAGGGCCCCCTGAATCATGAGCAAGCATGATGCACCCCCCTGCCATACACTCCACCACTCCAATGCCAAAATGCTCATTCCACATTGTATGAAGGCCAATTGTGGCATTAGAAATGTAGTTTTTAAGTTCCTCAAAAGACACATTCAATGCGAATTGAACATTCTCTCTTATGCCTATATCTTGAGCCAATTCTCTCARCKCGTCAACRCGATCTGCATCACCTTGGTCTCTGCAGCTCCCAATAAGTACCAGCTTGTATTTCTTTCTTTCATCTTTAGTTTTCCGTAACAAGAATTCTGCAAATGCCTTGATTTGTAGYGGATGGTCTTTCTCTGGTCTAAACTGTGCTATTGACATTATGTAATGCTGTTGGTCTCCTTTGTGAAGATTGATTGGTATTTCCTGGAATGACTTGGTATCGCATGGTGGGTATACAATATATGTCTTACTGGTATTCCTCCATATTGATACAATGTGTTTGAAAGTCCAGGTAGAGTTTACCATCACKACGTCAGAACAYCTTCCTGCCAGGCCATAAATTACRGCAAACATATAGTAATATAACAACTTGACGGCACTGAGAACACGACTATTACTAATAAACGATGCATTGTTATATGTTGCCGACTTGCGACCAACAAGTTCAAGCATGTCAGTACTTATAGTAGGATAATGCACATAGCAACCAACTTGGCAACCACCGATGTATTTAAATAGAGGAAGGGTAAAAGCATATCCCATGGTATCTATATATATATCTGGTAAATAGCTGGTCAAGGCCTCCCATCCAAGGATCRCYGATCCAAAACTTTGTCCAAGGAGGGTAAAGAAAGGATACATAGCAGCTTCWACCCAACGCCTTTTCTTTAAGTAGACAAATTCCACGGGTCCTGGTAGAGATATGTTRAACCTAGTGCGCGCTTTTTCGAGGATTTCTGAACCTTTGGCGTCTTGGTCGCCCGTGTATACAAGACATCTSACAAAGTTGTATCTYTGTTGAATGGCGCGTATTCCTATCCATAAAACACGTTCGCCTCCACCACCAGCATTGCAATATGGATGGAAAAAGCCYACAACGACTGGTTTGATGTTGGTTTGTCGAGAGYCGACTTCTCGAAGATGTGGCAACAATGAACTCGTCTTTCTCTTGACGTACAGGCGAAGAAGCACTACTAACATATAAAACACACTCAAAACGRATAGAAATATCAGAAGGACATATGATATCCAGAATGCAACCCTTTTGAGGTTAAATTCGATCATTTTGAAAATGTAAGACTTATAAAAKATCAAAAAGTGAAGAGAAGTGGAGAATTTATGGGRAAGACCGCTGACTTAAAGAAGATCTARTGTCCAGTCACCTTCGGCCGTTTTACCACAGGRATCTCRGATTTACTAATATTTTTGCGGRGAGACCTRCGTAGCACGCAGTTGATGTAATGTATTCATAAAATGTATTGTATTCCATTGTTTCTCATTCTATTGTATTATGTGTTTTGTATTATATCTTTATGAATATATTACATCAACTGAGTGCTACGTANTCTATAAAGTTTTTAGTAACATGATTTATTTCAAGCTTGCAACACAAGGGGCGACCGTATGGACGTTTACGTTTGGGTGTGGTTACATATTTCGCGTTTCCTGCTTCCTTATTGGCTAAATTAATAACAAATGCATATTTTCCCTTATATGAAGTTCATATAATTTAGGCTGCATGACATATATGGTTCTCTAATTGTTCATTTGGTTTTATTCAGATATCGCCAAGGAATGCCATCACTACAGGTGTGTCTTCTTATTATCCGACATGAGCATTATCGCTATCATCTCCCATTACGCGCGCTATGACCCACACATTGCTTCTACTGCCCTAACATCCTCCGCAGACACATCACTAATAATCACGGGCTTCCTGTCTTTTTTGGGAGTCAAAAGAGGGAGAATGGGTGCGAGAGGGGATCGTAATTAGTCCCTAGCGGCCAAGATAACCTTTACCATGAAGCGCAAAGGAGGAAAAAAGAGTTGCCTGGGGAGGGTTATGCATGGAAAAGGGCAGTAGTAGCTTCATGAGCTTCATTACTAACGTTTGAATTAAGGTTACCCCGGACACTATTTTCGTCAAATCTTTCAAAATTTTTAAATTAGTCTGAGCGAATTAAAAGAAGTATATCTACAACTTTGACTAAAGTTTATGCCGATGTGTTTTTTTTCTAAACTAGTTATAAACAAAAAACGTTTTGAGGTTCTCTGAAACGTGTTTTACTGCTGACTGCGGCTGTCATCGTAAGTCTTGGCGAATTAATAGTCACGTTATCAAAGCGCGACGGGGTCACATAACATCACAAACTTCACATCAAGCGATATAAAGACCAAAGCGATACTTATTCCACTGTATACTTGAAAATATCCTTTGCCAAGGCCTTTGGGATTCACCATTTTGAGAAAACTTACTGAAAATTATTACTATTCGCTG